TGCGTGTGTGTGTGTGTGTGTTTGTGTGTTTGTGCGTGTGTGTGTGTGTGTGTGAGAGAGAGAGAGAGAGAGAGAGAGAGAGATGAAAAGAAAAAGAGAGAGTTGGAGTAGAGAGAACGGGAAAAAGAAAAAGGGGGAGAGAGAAGGGAAGAAAGGAAGAGAGAAAGACAGGGAGAAGAGAAGAGAAGAGACAGAGAGAACGAGAGAGGTGGAGAAGAACAGAAGAGACAGAAAAACAGAGAAAGACAGACATAAAAATAGCATATGAGGAGATGGTAACAGAGGGGGGGGGGGCAAGGAGAAGAATAATTCTATGCGTAATTCCAACTCTAGGCCTAATAACCTGCAGCATTTTCCTCTCTCCCTCTTTGGCGTATTCGTCAGATCTCCAACATGACGTGCCGCGGGCGAGGGCTGCCCCCAGGCATTGACCCCCTCTCTCCTCTCGCCCCGGTCCACTAATCCCTGAGTCTGCAACAACACTAGAGCAATCTCCTGCCACTACCACCGCCACCGACACCACAACCGACACGACCACTACCACCACCACCACTACCACTACCACCACCACCACTACCACCACTACCACTAGGCTGAGAACATCTTACAAATAGAGCTGGACATGCCGATCCGCACCACGCGTGACTACGAGGGCCCGACAGTGGCCCCGAGGGTGCAGGCTGCTCTGGATGCTGCTTTACAGGACGAGGACGACATCGATATCGACGGGAGCGTGTTCAGCAACAAGTCCTCACGCAAGAAGGGAGCTTCTAGGTACGTGCATCACTTCCATTGCAATAATGATAATGATGATAGTAATAATATTTTTCTATTATAAAGCACATATCCTTATTAGAAAATGATGTCGGGGCTCTCGTGGCCTAGAGGTTAAGGTGTTCGCCTCTCGTTCAAAGGTCCCAGGGTTGCGATGGAAAAATTTTCTTCTCTAAAATTGTCTCCTTTCACCTCCTTTCTTGCTCTCTACTAATGTTCTGCCATCTGTTTTAGTCTCCACTCTCTGCCCCCACCCCCTCACCTCCTTTTCCCCCTACTTTGGGCTCCTGACTCTTTCTACAGCTTTTCTACTGCTACTCCTTGGCTCCTTATTACTGATTTCTTTCAGTCACACCCCTGATCTTCTGTTGGGAAAGATCTACACCTAGCCTTCTCGGACAAGGGTGAAAATTCTCGGAGTTCCCATGCGCAAGTTGCGTTCATTAAAGATCCCTTGGTGGTCTAAAATCGATAAGAGTGAGCTTGGGCTGCCTTCCAGGCAAAAATGAAAAATTTCCTAACCTTTGAAAATGTTTACTGTGTCCCGTATGCATGACTTAATGCAGTTGTGAGTGCCGTGAAACACTTACCCAAAAAATCCTAAGGAAAATGATGATGTTGATAATAATAATAATAATAACAACAATAATATAGATGATAGTCACCATTAGGATGATGATAACAATGATAACTATAATAATTGTAATTATGATAATTATATTAATAATAATGATATTGATAATAGATGACAATCACCATTAGGATGATGTTGGTTGATATAATAATCATTGTAGACAGCATGTATCATGTGCATTTCTGACTAGAAAGAAGGCTGTAATGTGATTATGATGACTGTCACAATAATAGATAACATAAAAGCGACCGACATAAAAGCTACGCTTATTTTACCCTCTATAATTTTTTTGGAGGATTTTAAAGAATTGCCTTATTTTTGGTCACCGAGGGGTTTGGTGGATCTGATTACATTTCCTCTTATGTATTGTCTCTCTCGTTACTCTTCTCCACTCTGCTGTCATCATTACTTTTGCTTGGGTCTCTGGAACAACCTATTTGTGTCCAGTGTTTAATAACGATGAATGGTTGGACAATAATTGCTGACAAGCAAGGCCGAAGTTTTCCTCTTATTAATGATTTATATGTGAGCGTGCCTGGTGAAAGGGACCACATGACACATCTTGAAGAATCCCGTTTTTTTGCATTTTCATGTACAGAGATCATTTCTGAACAATGTACTTTTTGAATTTTAAAGATATCTTCAGCAGTATTTTAGATATGGGTTATTTTGTAGGGCAGGGTACGGAAACCAAGTTTTGAGAAAAACGGCTTTAAAGTTTCCCCTTTTTTTCTGCTTCAAATAGATAAAATCTACGCTTCGAGACGACCTGACAACACATTCGCTACTCACAAACCAACTTTAAAAAGCGTTTAATATGAAAGAACAGCTTCAAAGTGTTTATATTACGTCTTCAAAACAAATTCACCACCACCTTGAGCAAGAGTCTTCAAGAAATAGGTCTAGGTTTGCGCAGGGCAGAAAAATGCGATACAAGTTTGCTCTCTTAAAAGGCGAAAGGGTATGGATGCACAAATCTTCACATTGTTTACATGTTCTAGATATTCATGTGCACTACCTGCCGCTAGAGAGAGGAGAGAATGACCTAAATTTTGGTATGCAATGTGATTGGGTCGACTTTATGAATGGACAAGAGAAACAATACGCCATGTGTACTCGGAAAACCAGTTTTTCACATGTTTTGTGGGATTATGCAATAATACGACGTTTTAAAAAACATCTTTAAAAATGTATTTTAAAGTACTAGAAACTCAAGTCCTTGAAAATATCGATATATTAATGGTTAAAGAATCCATTTTTAATGAATCTTAGTTTTTGTCAAAATTTTTTTTTACCTTTGAAGCCTGATGTCTCGGTTCGGGCAAATGCGTCTTGTGGTCCCTTTCACCAGGCACGCTCACATATTATCTCTATGAGACTGGAAAGCTTGTTCAGTATGAACCTCAACTGTTCATGATTTTGAGTAGGTGCATTACTATTAATCCCATGAGACCATGTTCTATGTTTGATTTATTTGATTTTTTTTGCCAGGCCCAAAACAGGCACAAAGCGAGTGGAAGAGCAGAAGTACCCAATGTCACGTGGTCTGGTTCCCAAGTAGGCGGAGTCTGTTTTGACCTCACCGAAGACTGCTGCTGATTTACCCTTACAGATACTCTGACCGACCGGACTTTGTACCCTTGAACTTAAGATCTGTTTTTGTGGCACTGGTGAGGTTATATAAGCCACTTGTGATGATAATTTGGGACATAGTAATGAAAAAAAGACCAACCATGGAACAAGGAGATTGTTTGATTGTTTTTCGGTCTTTATAGAGTGCAAATTGAAAGTATTTGAACTGTTTATGAGAAGTTCATAGGGATTTTGTTTAATGAAAGGTTTTGTAACAAAATAGGCCCTACTTTTTATCCAAATAATCAAAAATGCTAGTAAAGCTGATTGTTCGATTTATGATCTGTGTGTCGTGGAAGGAGGAATTGAATTCAAGTATTATGAAATCACATTTTGTGACTAATTAATGTTTTATTGCTGTATCGATCAAAGATCTCATCGGCGATGTACAGGGAAAAAGCGGAAATATGAATGTTTGAGAAAACTCTTTTTATCACAATACCCTTAAAATGAAAAAATGGGAAAGTGGTTAATGGTATACTGTTCTCAAAAACATTTGTCTTTTTTTGCTCCTGTAAGCATATCTTTCCCTGTCTCTGTTGTCAACATAAGATAAAGCTTGAAGCTTAGGAGCTATCACTATCACTTAAGTGTGCAGAGTTCTGAGTACTTCGTGTTCCACCCTGCTTGTTGGTTCACCTCTTAATCTCTATATTAGTCTATAAGTCGAGGACTGTTTTACTGGAATATATGAAGTAACCATGTCTTACATTTCTGTGTAAATGGTCCAGAAAACATTATGCTGTTGACCTGTCCTAATAGTTTTTCTCATGCTTGAGATTCCTTAAGCTGGAAAACGTTTTGTCTGAGATTTAAGGAGAGTGGTGGGGTTCAGGCTAACCACTCTTTCTGCTTTAAAAAAAAAAAGATGCTTACTGTTGAAATAGTCTTTTCCCTTGAGTGTACTGAAGTAAAGAGAAGACTAGAAGCCAGAGCAAATTGAGGGAGCAGATCTGTAGCAGTGGAGAATTAAAAAATCCGATTTTTTGCTCTTGATATGTTCAAATTGCAGCTTGAGCAGTTTTCTCATTTTGTTCTATGCATGCTTTACTCTGCATTCATGTTAAGCTAAAACAATAGTGCAGGCAGTTGAAGTGGGTAATTGACAGGTCCTACCTCTTTTCTTCTCCCTTTTCTTCTCCTCTGTCTTTTCTGTCTGTCTTTCCCTCGTTTTCCCGGCACTAAATGGCCATTATTGTGTCAGTGTGCTTCTATTTACCCAAACCTATAAGATAGCTCTTTTATCTTTATACACTTTTTGAGTGTGGCTGTGATTCCAATGTCTTTTAGAACTATTTAAAGCATTGACAGGTCGGGTTTCTTCTCTGGACATCGGAGAAATGATAGATTCTAGGTTGTGTTGTATTGACTAAGCTCCTATTTATTGTATGTCTAGTGCTTGCTGGACCATGTGCAACTACTTAAAGATTCAACCATAATATTCATGATAAATATATTTTAAGTTTACAACTTTATGTTTTTATTTTCGTGATTATGTTTGCCACTTGTTCACTTACTTGAAGTGAAAGTAGCTTGCGGACACTAGAGGAAAGTAATTTTGGCATGTCATGACTGGCACGTAAAATGAGTTATTCAGGTTGACTTTGCATTAAAGTTACTTGATTTTCTTGTCACAGAGACAAAATTGTTTGATATGCTTATTATTTTTTTTAAAACCCAACCCTTTCCTTATGTGGTTTACTTAAACTGCTGTGTTGCACAACCTTCTTGGGTTTCTAATTCAGTGTATTTCAGAGCATGGAGTGGTTGTTTCATGCTAAAAATTATTAACAATTTACAATTGGTTGGGCCTGGAGTTCATGTCTTGGCTTTACATGCATTGATATTCGCTTGACAGGTGTGTTTGACTTTGACCTGAAGAGACCAATAATCTGACGACAAAAATATTATTCAAAAGTCACTATTTGTGTACTTGAAAAGTTTCCTTTTCCTAGAAGGTCACTAACTTAAGTGCAAACAACAAGAAGTACCATTTGTGTCTGTGTAATGAAAAAAGTTTCTGGGTCCGTTATAGTTGTACTTTGATTCACTGCAGTATCAGTGGCAGAAGACCAATCTGTGATCGCTGTTTTAGTTCTGTATATTCGTTTTCATTTAGTTTTGTTTTCATCCGCATCATTTTTCAGTCAGTGTCGGAAAAAGAGTCTTTTGTTGATTTTTAAGATATGTCATACTAGTGCCTAAAGTAAAAATAATATTGGGAGGTTTTAGTCTTCATGAAGATTTTTCAGTATTTTTCACTGTGAAATGTGATGGTTGAAAAAATGGGTTAACAGCTGACAGGAGTTTTAACTAATAGACTGGGTTATTATCATTATTTTTTTTGCTTCTGAAGTTTTTTGTAAGTATCGATTTCATTTTTTATTTAGCAGTTCCTCTCTGTCTGGGGTTTTTGTTTTATTTTATTTTATTTTTTGAACAACAGTAACTCTTTTAAAAGAAGATTATACACTTACACTTGTATTTTTTCGGCTTAGTATCGATCATTCAATATATGAAAACTTTTCCGTTTTATTTTCGGCCTGCCAAGTATAGCTCGTGACAAAAGTAGAATGCTTTTTACTGTTTATGATTATGTCAAATATATCATATGTATCGAGACGACAAAAGTCTGAAGGAGGCTTACACTTTATGGGTTCTGCTAAAGTTCGAAAATTCTTTTTTTGGCCGAAAGAAAGGACCTGAATTGAGCTGAAAGAAGAAAGTCCATTAAAATGCATTTTTTAATAGGTTCAGCAATTGATGTCAGTATTTTTCCACTTTTAAATCACTCTTAAAAATTAGAAATAAACATCTATTTGTTCCAACATATTTTAAGGGCAGGTTTCAGATTTTAAAAAAATGGTGTCTTAGTTAATCCTAATTATAATAGCATTATGATTATTAAATGTTATTTTGTTAGAAGCTTGAATAAGTCACATTTTGTAGACCGAAATATGATAGTGTAGTTATTGTATTTTGTTTCATACATGGTGAATTCTGACTGTCTCTGAAGCGGACAGAAAGCCTTAAAACCCTTGTACCATGTGTCATGCTGTGTTACTTCTTCACAGCTTTTACTTGTACTTCTGTTTACTGTCCACGGTATTATGGAGGCATCTTTTGATGTTTGCCACTCCAAGTCCATCCATTGTTCTCGAACTTACAGTCTAGTTTATTTTTTACTGTTTTCAGTTTTTATACTTTTGTATGTTGCGTGTGTTTGCCAATTTTGTTGGCATTAAGTTCTGTTGTCGTGTTTGTTTTGTTGATTTTTTTTTTTCCATGAATGGTATATCTTCTGTGTCTGTCTTTACCATACTGAAAAGATGAGAATAAAGGTTATTGTTTTTAAAGGGTCTTGTTCACTGTTTCTTAGTTGTCATTTTTTTTTTTACTTTCCATATTATGGTAATTTCGAAGTCTTGGGGTTCTGTTTCTTTTGAACCAATACATTGGAGCAGCCCAGACTGCAATTTTTCTCAGTAGTTTTTGCAGTGTCCAACTCTTCTTTCATCTCTTGTGGTCAAGAGGTTACAGTGTTTGCCCACACATTCAATAGGTCGGTCACGGGTTCGAAACCTGACTGCAATGGAAAATTTTCTTCTCTAATTTCTAAAATGTTCTTCTTTCACCTCCTTTCCTTCTACATAATCTTATTCTGTCGTCTGCTTTTGTCTCCACTTTCTGCCCCCTCCCCCCTCCCCTTTGCCCTGACTCTTTCTGCAGCCTTTCTATGCAGGTAAGATCTCTACTGCAGGTTAGGGTGAAAAACCTTGGAGGTCCTGTGTGCAAGTTGCGCACATTAAAGATCCCTTGGTGGTCCCAAAATCAATAAGAGTAGGCTTTGGCCGCTACCTGAGCAAAATTCAAAATTCCTACGAAACTGAAATTGTGTCCAGCATGCTCAAATGACCTAATGCAGTTGCGAGTGCTGTAATATACTTGCCAAAACAAAATAATGTCTGGGATTGTTTGTTTTTTTTGTGTTTTTTTTAGTAGAGGTTTTACGGCGCTCGCAACTGCATAAGGTCATTTGAGCGCCAGGAGATTAGAGGTGTCACAAGACAGTAACAAACATAAAAAAAGAAGAAGGGGAGATAAGGACGATAGATGTTTGATAGGAAAGAAAAAGCAAACCACATCAGAGCACCCGCCAACCACCCACAAATAATGTCTACTTGGTTTGATTTGTGTAAATAGAACACCAACAACACGATAATGGACACTAATGCAAGAAAAGAGCAAGACAGAAACAAATGAGGGAAACATCAGCGGTTGTAGGGCTTATCAGTGGCAAAAGCCACCCACATGTGAAGCTCTGTGAAAAATTAAGGGGGGAACAAGAAGACAACATACAAGTCTTGAAGTAGGTGATAATGTATATTTTTATCACAGAGATTGAAACAAAAGATGGACAAGCCGGATCGAGCATGGGGGTGAGAGAGAACATGGTATGGTACAGATGCAGTCACACGAAAAGTTACAAGATGTAATAACATGACATGTTTCACACAAACAAAAGAATATGAAATACTAAAATAAAGGAGATAACATACAGATGTTACAATATGTAACAATTTGAAACTCAGAAAAAGAAAATGTAATGACACTAAACGCAACAACTTTGTTACCAGATGTAACAAACTGTGATAACATGAAATATTTACATGAACGAGATGCAAAACAGAATTAAATGTTATAGGATGCAATCCTGTGAAATGTTACAAAATGCATCGGCATGAAATGACAAAATACAATACCAACAACTTGGCATGCAATCAAATCTGGATGGTCTGGTCCACTAGGTACACATTTCATAATTTGGGTTTTTGTATAGATGCAAATAAGACATAATTCCCCTTCATATGACGCCAATATCACATTAATGTGATAATATTTAACTAAATGAAGCACGATTCAGTATTGGAATGCTCCACTGTTGTCTGAGGCAAAATACCGAGATATTTGCAATCAAAGATTTGACAAATGCCTTTATAGCAACAGGCATCTTGTAATAAAGCTAGGTTCATGAAATTTGGCACACATTAAATGTGGCAATGCCAATATACTCACCAATTGTCAAATGCCTTACATGTACATCTAATAGTTTTGTTTCTAGAATATTTTCTCAAGGGCACCAGAACATAAACAAAACAAAAACAAAAAAAGACGGAAGAAAAGCTTTAAAACATAAAGCGCTGTATATAATTACTCACGTTTATATAAATGTCAATATTTGAGTAGACATTGAAAGACATACTATTACTAAACACAAACAACAGTTTATACAACAGTTGGACCAGCGTCTGTGGGGCAACAGTGTCAGCCTCTTCATCTTCCATGCAGAGAGCAGGAAATTGAATTAAGACCTGTGGAGCAAATTTTTAAAAGAGTACCTTTGTCTCTATACTAGGATGTAGACTCTAGTCTCGTAAAAGTCCCTCTCATCCCAAATTGGCCCTGACAGGCAGGTTCGAAGTAGCCTGCCTTTAAAGAATACCTTACAGTGTTGCGAGGGGTGAAAACCAAACCAAGAAATCTAGGACAAACGTTGGGGACTTTATTTATTTGGCCCCTAAACATTTGTACGGACTGTACTGAACTGGCGTCTGTGGTGTTACGATAAGGCTCTTTCATATCATTCATGAGACTCTAGTTCTATTCCCACATGGGGATGAGCATCAATCTGTTTTTCAGCTAGGATTCCTCCATTTCAGCCCAGGTCGAAGTAACCCGTCTCTTAAACTTAAATGACCTACTTACTGTGTTGCAAGGGACGAAAAACCGAAACTAAACTGTACTAACAGCTGCGATACATGTCTTGTCACCTGAAAAACAGCTTGCAGCCAGACAAAAATGTGTAAGATACAAAATTCTCCCCATGAATATTTGAGTTTCTCTCCTTCATTTGGGCATCATTGACAAGATCATATCTGGAGGTCATTTTAGATAGCTAATGTGCATAAGAAGTTTTGAGCCAATGAGAGGATCGGAAGCTAGGGAATTACTCTTCGTCTCTACTAAGGAGGTCATCATTGAAATGTTTACAAATGCAAGCTTTCTTTCACTCTTTCATTGGCCATAAAGGGGATCCCAAGGGCTTAAAATATGTCTCAATGGAAAGAAAAGGATTTCCTCTTACCACTGCTATGCAGTTTGCTAGGTAAATTTTGAACAATATTATTTTACTGAAGCTCAAAAGTAGTACTAAATATTATAAAATATTACAGAACAGAACAAAAACATTCTCCAAAATAGCTTTAAAAACACATTTAAAAGCAAATTTTTAAAATGTATTGTTTTTCCAACAGAAAAGACATTCAAAAGTCCAATAAAGCAAAACAAAAATGTTGCTCATTTTTAGCCCCAACAAATGTGTTCGGCAATTTCTGCTCTCCAGCTGGATGTACCTAGTGTACCAAACCATCGGGATGTGTCACATATCATATCATGGTACATATCAATGATATACTTTAACCATGTATCAGGAAGAAACAGGTCAACTTTGTTTAAACTAAAACCATTACCGGGGACAATCTGAATACTTTCAATAAAAATCAGGAGTCAGCATACTGGCTCTATAAATAGTGTTAAAGTAGGCTACTATGGGCTACCTTTTTGCTTACATTCATCCATTAAATTGGGGAGCTTTTTGCCTGCTAAATAAATTTAAAGAAACCAGTTACATGTATGTTCATGGTAAGAGTATAACCACCACTAAAATGTGTGTGTGCCTAAAGAAAGCTACAAAAAGTCGGATTTTGACCATTTTGAGTTAAAAGTGGTGCATCTTATAGAACATTCAATGTTGAACACAGTCACAGTGTTTTTGAATTTTTGAGATATCTCAAGTAGTTTTTTTAGATATTGAACATTTTGTGAGGTAGGGTATAAAGACCTAATTTTGAGAAAATTAGCTTTGAAGTTTAGGACACTTACAAACTTTAAAAAACCCAATGATTCAATTGTTTCTAAAGTATTTTTTTCATGGAAAATTCATTTCCAATTTGGCACTCCGTTGACATCAATACCATGATTAAAATTCAATGGTAAAACAAAGGGGGGGGGGAGGGGGAAGAGAAAACCTTCAAGAATAGATTTTAATACCTTCTAAAACTAAAAGCAGTTTTTGTTATATTTGTGAAAAAATATCCTAGCCTCAAAATTACTCAAAATAAAATATTTAGAAGTCAACTCAATGAAAACCCTTTTAACACATTGTTAAAAAATGGTGGAACTATCATTTTTTTAAATGGAATCACATTTTGGTCAAAAAAGTGATTATTTGTCATTATCAGCCTGTAGCTCAACATTCTATGTGGTGACTTTATGTACCTTTCTTTAGGCACACACACTAATGTTTTCCTGTCATATCATCACTGTCACTCAAAAAAAACAACCCAACAATACTATGACCTCACTATGTTAGCAGGGTCAAAAGGAGCTATTCATTTTTCATGCAACATAGATGATATGACGGACAATGAGGGAATTTTGACTGTTAACACAGCAAATAGCTAAATCTTGTGTAAATATCCACATTACAAATACAGCCAAACCTGCTCTAACGGCCACCCCTCCAGGACAATCATCTGTACAAGCAAACACTTTCCCCTTATCCCCTTGCATTTCTTTTTTTTTTCCTCTATATTATCCACTGTCCAAGACATCCACCCATCTATTACAATCGCTTTTCACCTCAATAACAGGTGACAGTCTAGGACAATTTCAACAATAGTATGTACATGAAGCTACTAGTACATTCATATTTCAAATCTCTGTATGGACAAGCCAGACTTATCTGTTGACCCATGTGAATATACAAATGCAATTATAATCTCTTCTTAAAAAAACCCCACACAAATAGACAAAAAAAACCAACAAACCAAACATGTCACCCCACCATGCTTTTCCAGGAGAGAGGGAAAAACACTGAATAATATTTTTGTTCTTTCTAAGAACGAAAGCAGGTGGTTGAACTCAATTTATTTTGTCCATGTGCTTTTTGTTCCGATAAAAACAATAAGTAGGAGAAAATACAGATATACAGATTTGTATTGTGTCTCTATAATGGTTAGTGGGTAAGAACTGGGGAAATACAAATGACAAAGGTAAAAGCCATTCCATGGAACTGAAACAATCAACTTTTCCCAAAAATGTAAAATACAGATATCTTGAAACAAGCAGTCAAACAAGAGTGAAAATCAAAGCAGCTACATTGTAGACCCCGGACTCATCCACCAACATAAACTCCATTCACTGAAAATTTCTGTTTAGTATTTAGTGCGGTGTGACATTAGAAAGCAAAATCAGACATGTGGTGGCAACAAGATGGATCAGCAGCTCATTCAGC